CCGCTCCACGGAATTCAAATAGAAACACGTAAAAAACAAACTCTTCAGTTTTATAATATTAGAAACTATTCAGCTCTTTATACTTACCCAAGACTAGTCAAGGGCCTCCCTTGAATAAGAAAGTGAATATTAGTCCATAATTAGTATAGACTCACCTCATATTAAAAATTAATATATGTATATAGAGTTTTGTGAAAGGATACACGAAAAATGATGGGTGTTTTAGAAAAAAAATATCATTATGTAAATATATTTGTGAGTAGATAATATGAAAATCTGTAAAAATGCTACTAGTTTTGCTTTAAAAACATTGTTTGTTCATATTGTGTATACCCTTGACTGCGGGTTAATTACTTTTTAATATAATACTCTTTTATCTCCTTTGAAAACTAACCCGCCTTTGAAAGATAATAATTAAAACAAAATAATGATGAAACTATATTTTAATAGCTATAATTCAAAAAGTAAATAAATATTTAATATGTTCTTCCTTTTAATTTAGATTGCTTTTCGGTTTTGTGTATTTGTTTTTGGTTAGAGAAGCTGAACGGCAGTGATAGCATAGCGGTAACTTTTAAAGCGGGTTCAAACCCCGACTCACGTATTTTTGATATTTTCATGTGAGAATCATTTCCAACATGATTACTACTTGTTTTACGGTGAACAAAAACAATGTGAAGAAATCTGCATGTCTGAGAGAACCTAACAAGTTTTCGAAAGACATGTGAAGTCCGCTAACCTGTACTTGGCAAGCGTGGTGGAGTATCGCCTGATCCCCTTCATATTGAAGGGAGGCCCACCCCCAGCAGTGGAACATTAAAAAAGACCAAATACAAAACTTTGTGGATGTTCAGTGACTTTTTTTAATACTAATATGACTTTTTTAATAAGAGTTGATTCTGCAGCAACGCAAAATAAAGTCGATTATCTTGACTAATTCACCATTGCTCAGATCAAATCACTGACAAATTCAACTCTAAAGAAGGTGACAAGTGTAATAAATCTTCTATTAGAATTAATAGTCATTTTTTAAATTAAAAAAAGGCAAGTGAAGCCAGACCAGGCCTCTAGTGTCTGTTGGATATTTTGGCAAAGTGCCAAGATACTGGTAGATATCCGGCTGTCATATCAACAAGTACCAAGCTAAGTTTCATGTCGTTTTGTTAACGTTATATACATATTATTATTATCTGCAGATAAATCTAATGAACAAAAAATACGGTGACGGGCAAGCCTTCCAAACTCCCGCTCTAACACGAAATGAATATATCGAATATATAATCGATACGGATTAAAGCTCTCTCATCACACGTTTTCTCGTTCTGAACAAAATTGACGTAAATAAACCATCACGAGAGCTTACAAGCTTTTCTGCGAAATAATACATCTACGTGTTTTATGTATTTACAACAATTTCAGTATATTAATGTGAAAATGGTCAGTATTAATACTAAAATTTTAATGAATATAGAGTGCACTTATTCTACTTTACGATTACTTTTTCTATAGATGATTATATTCAATTATATGTATATAATAAATAAAATTTAGCTTCCCAATACAAACTTTCATCGCTATTTTTACCCCCTTAAGGGATGATTTCCGGGATAAAAAGTATCGCTTGTCCTTCTCAGTGTCTCAAACTATCTTCTTACCAAATTTCATCTAAATTGGTTTAGTAGATCCAGAGATTACCCCCTACAACGTCACAAACTTTATAATATTAGTATAGATGTATGAAAATAATAGCTTCTTGCTATAGCTAGAAGCTATTGTTTTTACCAAATTTATTTCAATGTATTGTTAAGGCTCTGAAATATTTATCTCAAAATTTTCTAAATCGTTTTAACTTATAGAAAGATGTAAATCTTACTTACATTGAATTCATATGCGTCTTTTGTTTTAGATATTAATTTATTAGTACCTTCCTGAGAAAATCTTTTAATTTATTGATCGAGAGTGTATATACTACTCCATCATTTGTAATAATAGTATTAGTCAGTATTTTAAAAATGTAAGTCAGAAAATATACACAGCAAGCTTAAATAATGTGCATTTAGTACGTAAAGAAACTATCCGAAGCTTCTATCATTTCCGTTCACTCGAGTTTCAATCAACTTTAATAAGTTTCAGCTAATTTCATCAGTTTATCTGAGTCGTGTGTATTGTCAATACCTTTCTCGTGCGTGACTATGAGTAAGCGGACAAGCACGTATTCAGTTAGGAAATGATGTTAAATATATTTGGATATGTACATATATAATAAAGTTATATTTCAAATAATGAAAGGAATACAATTAAAACATAGAAATATATTATTTTGTATCATGTACAGTTATTGCCTTTATCGGTAACTTAAATTTGATTCTAAAAACAACCAGTTCGCGAGTTCTGTAGGAATGAAATATTAAAATGTTACGCTTTAGATTCCATAATTTCTTACATTAAAAGAAAAATAAAATATATGTATATTGTATATCCATCTACAATATTCGTTTTACTTACGGCAAAAAAATGTATTTCATAGTATTTCTATGAAAAAACAAAGTAATTTTTGTCGTAAACATGATACTGTAAAAGTAAGTTAAGTTTAAGTAAGGTAAGTTGTAAGTTTTTTGGAAGCTCAAACCACTATCCCAATTTTTTTCGGAGTTTTCCATCTATCCTTAGATACTCAACACACTTTAGCGAACTCCGTTTTTATTTTCATTATGTACTGCAGAATTGTCAAGCAGTTTACATCGAGACACCTATTGATCAAATTTCAGTCGACACAACAAAACAATCTCCGGATGAAAAAACATGACGGACAGACGAACATGACGAAATTAAGAAGGTTCCTTTTTTGCTTTACGCCCAATATAAAATTTATACTTATTTTATTTTAATTTATATCAGGTGTCCCAAAATATAAAACAATACTTTTATATCTCGAAAAATTTAAAATAACTTTGATAAAATTTCCATTCAAGCGCTCTTCTATGATTTTATTTCCATGAATATTTTTAAAAGCTTCAATTAAATTAAAAAAAATCTTGGCCATATATATCTTATCATATTTTTGGGCTTGCTTATTATTAAGTATATATTAATAACCACAATATTTATTGTTTAATCATGTTGTAGATAAGGTATTTATTTTGCTGACGACGCAACCTCGTTATGGATGTAAATATTTAACGGCGGCGTACCCTCTTAAATTGCCTCCTTCATTTCATGTCACTTGGAGGGAAACGAAAAAACCCTGCAAGGCTGATAATAATATTCAAAGCTCTTGAATCAGATCGGTTTATAAGCTTAGAGATAAACAAAAAATACTAGCTTCCTGTCCACATATCGAAAATCTAAAATATCTTATAAAGTTAACAGATAAAATATTTAAAATGTATAATAATAATTTTGTGTTTTTATTGAACAGTAAAATATGGCTCTTCTAGAATATCCAGAATGTCTTAATTAAAAACTACGCCCCACTTCGTAACGAAATTAAAACTGTAGTATGTTAATTTATTTAATGAACCCGTACTTACTTTGCTGTATTTACCATTTTATATTAAACTCACTTTATTTATGTACGTCGTTGTTTTTGTAGATTTTTCTTTTGTAAGTTTTACTGCATGTATCGATATTTTATTAAAATATGGTTCGATTGTTACCGATATTAGTTTTCGTAAACGTAGGTTTATTAAAAAAATATACGTGCTATATGTTCTGTAAGCATATTTTTGTAAAATCACACTATTATTAAAAATATAATTTGTATGTTTGTGCATTTTTTTACACCTTCAGGCAGATTTGTATACAACTCAGTACACAGGTAGATTATGACATGCAATAATATTGCCCAAAAAGTAGAGCTTCCTGTATATATAAATATATCCAATATCTTATCATTCTTAATATTATAAATGTAAAAGTGTGCTTGTTTGTTTGTCCTTCTTTCACGTTGAAAAAGGGTGACGGATCGCGTGATTTTTTTAGAGTAACATAGGCAACTTTTTACCGCGGAAGATTATCTCATTCCTACGGGAAAATACGTTATAATGCAACCCAAAAAAATATTTATGATCAGAATAATGAGTTGAAACTTGGTATTAATATTCTTGAATACAATTAAATAAATATTTATATTAGCATTTTTCAAAATTCATCCCTTGAGGGGTAAAATTGGGAATGAAAGTTTGTATGAAACCTACCTTTTTAATTTTTTTGTAGTTTTAGCGTGAGCGAAGCCGCGGGTTCTAATTGTAATATTGTATATGAAAATATGTTAGAAGTATTCACTGTGAAATATCTATTTAAGCAAAAAATTGCTTCCATACAAACATAAATTGCTCAATCGTTTTATATCTCATAATAGATGTACGTTGAAATCGAAGCAACAGGCGAGCTTTAGAATAGGTACGCTTTTATGTTTATCTTCTCAATCAGAACGTTATTCGGCGCTGGGGCCTGATTTATTATTTAATTTGGATTACATATTTTTATAAAATATTCTTAGTTTAGTTGACATTACACATTATTTTCAAAAAATATTAACTACATATAATAATACTATAAAACAACGTTTATAACGAATTTTAAAAAGAACGTAGAATAAAATATATCAAAATATAAATTATACTGTTTTCATAAAAAATAACAGTAATCTAGCACCGAATTTGATAAGTTCTACGATAAAACAAAGTGAAAATCGATTGTGACCAGCCGTAGGTACTGCGAAAAACAAAGCTTGGCGCGTAACTCTATAACAAAACTAATAACAATAATTGTGAATTAAGAAGAAAATAATCGTTTAGTAAAGAAATAAATTATTTTTTAATATAAAAGTTATATTATTTATTATTTTAAATGCTACCCTGGCTGCGTGTAGTATATGTATACTGTAGAGTCCCGGCCATCACTCGCCGCTCGAGCGTCCCGCGTAACGCACGTCCCGTTACTCGATTGGATTTTTCGTTTCACGATAATATGTGTTAAGTGGACTCCGAACAAGCAATATGAAAGGCAGGCATCAATTTCGTCGGCGTTTTAGCTTGCAACCCTCCTTCTTGAAAGAAGAACCAGATGAAGATCGAAGGCCGCCAAGGTAAGGTCAATATTTTTAATTTAAATGCTATTTTTTATGATTATTTATCTACTATTATTTATTTATTCTAAGAGAAACGAAAGGTGTTTCGGGGCGTAGTTGGGTAATTAAAATAATTGGACTAAAGTGCCCGATCCCTAAACATCTCTAGTTTCAACGGTTAACTTTTGTAGCAGTTTCATATTACACAAGTTATGATACGGTGTATTAAAATAAAGCTGGATAGTATTTTATAATATAATCGTATTTCATAGGCTATCTTTTTATACGTAAAATATTTTAACTAAGAAATATATTATGTATATACAAAATATGTAAGAAATATATTATGTATATTATGTATATACACAATGAAAAAGTAATTTTGTTCTTTTAAAGAACAAATATTAGATATTTTAAGAACCTACTAAGGACATATGTGCGATTTTTTAAATAATTAATATTAAATATTTTGTAATATTACTTTGTAATTTAATGTGTGCTGAACTTTTAAACCAATTAAAAAAATCATGAGTGTTTCTCGTTGTTTGTTGTTATCGTTTCTTGTGTTTATTTAATATTAAACGCTTTTTTTATCAAATTAAATCTTCTTTTTTAATATAAAATCTCAACTTATATTGAATTGATACAAAATGATTTAATACCAAAAATAATATCAATCATAATAAAAACTTAAAAAAAAACCGACTACCAATGTGAATAGAATATCGGTGTGCTTTGGTACCGACTTCCAAAATATCTATTAGGTATCTATTCTAAATGAAAACCGCCGTTTAGTTATTTTTTACTTTTTAGTGCTTGGAAGTCGGTTTTTTAGGTTTTTATTTTTCCATTTTTAATATAGACGTAATAATCAGGTAATTTGTAAGAAGAAAGTTTTTTTATAACATATTCGATTAAGCTATTTATTTATAAATAATTTATTGTTGATTTTTGAAAACCGCTCGTCCAATTTCGATGACGAAGACAAATTTAAACGGGACCAACTGGGAAGTATAGCCTTTGAAAAAAAAAAGAATTTTCCAAATCGGTTCAGGCGTCTTCGCGTAATCATTAAACATACATAAAAAAACAAAAAAAAAAAGATTTCGACGAATTGAGAACCTTCACCTTTTTGAAGAAGTCAGTTGAAAAGGTTATTGCTACGACTATTGGAATCAACAGTCCATACATATATGTATGTATGTACATAGCATAATCATTTAATAAGTAGTATATTTATTAACTTATTTATTTATTAATTACCATTCATAAAAAAATAATACATTATATTAATAAATACTTATTATATGTAATTATTGTGAATAATCTGAAGAAACGATAAAATTATAATTAATTATTAGAATTAACGTATCTTAGAAAGGACAACGTGTTTATTAAGTTCGTCACAATAAATTACATAGTTACCTTGATAATATTTTGTAAAAAGTAAAATTTATTAATTTAATTGTAATATATAAATTATCACTCCTTAAGTATAGGAAGATATAATCTTCTCATTTTTTATTACTATATATCCTGGAAACTGTACATTTTTCGGGGATAAAAATTATCTTACCATGCAAAATTTCATTTAAATCGGTTTTACACTTTCGAAGATCAGCCCGTACAAACAGACAAACATACAGAGAAACAAAAAAAAATGGAATAAATCTGGATTTGTTCTATTTCTCTTCTTACATCCCCATGACTTGGTTTTTAGCATTTTTTTCTATATACAGACTTTTGAACTCTACAGCTTTATTATATGTACATATATAGATAGATTCCTATGTCATGACACAAACGTACCCCTATCACTCATTAACTTTTTGATTATATCAAGTTTGAAGGGAGCTTTATATCAAGTTAAATAACATTTTTACAGCCCCCGATGGTAGTCATGAAAAATTAGGTAGTCGCTACGATAACAAGAACAACTTTGTTCAAAAGAATTTCAAAAATCTATTTTCAACTGCTCGCTACGAACAATGAAGCTACTTTCTTATTTAATAAGATTCCTTATAAAAAATTTCTACTCATTTAAGCCGTAAAAACTTTAAGCTTTTGAACTTTTAAAAAAAAATTATAAAAAATATTATTATAACTTAACAGCCCTGTGATAATTATTATTTAAAACATAAAAATGGGAAAAGTTCTGAAAAGTTCTACTTTTAAGCTGTTATTTTATGAATGTACGATGTTAAACTAGTATGTTAATGGCATTCTTACTAAATTAAAGAGATTAAAGCTTTGTGTTTAGTCTGCGGAGCCTTAATTTACTTGCCCACTTCACCCGGGATTTACTTCTTACCTCAGCATTGCTTGGCAGCGGGCTAATCCTAAAACAGTTAAAAGGACGTATTGAATTGTTTATCTGTTTGTACTAATACGCGCTAATAGTCATCTGAGAAATTCTATATACATTAAATAGCCAATTTATTATAGAAAGTGATGTAGGCTTTCTTATGTCAAGACACTTAGAGGGGAGCAACTATTAGGTACAAATCATCTATACATATAATAAAATTGTATCTAAGTCGAATCTGTACTTTAAATATTTATTGGAAAATCGAATTGAAATAGATTTCGTTTCGTTGTTTCGTTCGTTCATTATTATCGATACAGAGCCCGAATCTATAGTTTTTAGAATTTTTGTATGTCTGTCTGTCTGTCTGTTACCGCATCACAGAAAAATCACTGGAGGGATTTTGATGAAATTTGGTATGATGATAGCTGGTTATCCGGGTCAACATATAGGATACTTTTTACCGCGGGAAAATATCTCATTTTTGAAAAAAAATACAAAAACTGCAATGTAAGAGTATACTAATATGTAAAACCTAAGAATTTGGTTTTTGGTCATCTGAACGCGGGCGGAGCCGCGGGCAATGCTAGTCTCTTCAATAAGTGGCGTTGACATGTGACGTTATGTCAAACCAAAGAATAAAATTCAAAGACTGAAAGTTTTAACTGTCTAAACACAAATAATTGTGCACTTCTCTTTGAGAACACCTTTAAGACGCTATTTGTTTTTTTTTGGACATTAACACACAACACCATCTAGTTCCATGGTAAGCTACGAGGCCTGTGTTATGGATACCAGACAGTTGATACACTACACATATATAACTTTTTAAATACATACATATTATAAATATATACGAGTACAAACATTCGTGCTCAAAACACAAATGAATGCCCCCAGCGGGACTTGAACCCGCGACCGCTGGCACAGCAAGTAGGGTCACTACAAACTGAGCCAAACGTGTCGTCAAATTGTGTACCATGTGGGCAGCGCCTTTGGCAAATGAAGTGCATTATATCTTAGTTAATAAATGAGAAAATTAAAAAAAAAATAGTTCTAAGTTAGCGTTAACAAAAATATATAAGTTTTGAGAATGTGTACATTGTGGAGAAACAAGATAACAATGATTTTTAAGATCTTATTTAACCTGTTCTCGTGCGCCATTAGAATGAATCTCTAAATCGTCTGTATGTATTTTAATAAAACTTCTTAAATGTTTATGTTTTCTGACCTAAAATATAAATTTTTAGTTTAAAATAGCTTGTGTAAGTTTTAGCTATGCATATTATGACTCTATAATAGATATATCCTACCCTTAATGCGTTTTTTTGTTCAGTGGTTATTAAATAACAGATATATAGTTTTTTATTTAAATATTTTATAGCTGCTTATACGAGCTTAAGGCCACTTGTGAATTGGAGGCATAAGGTAAAAAGACAAAAAATTTGAAAAAAAGAATTCGATCGTGCATGTAAGAAATCGAATAAGTGCGGATCTGACGGAGTGCCTGGAGGGGACTACGACCGTCAAACATTGTGTTATGACACGTTTGGCTCAGTTTGTAGTGACCCTACTTGCTGCGCCAGCGGTCGCGGGTTCGAGTCCCGCTGGGGGCTTTCATTTATGTCATGAACACAAATGCTTGTACTCCAGTCATGGATGTTTATGTTTATAATACCTATGTATGTATTTAAAATTATATATGTATAATGTATCAACTATCTGGTATCCATAACACAAGCCTCGTAGCTTACCATGGAACTAGATGGTGCTGTGTGTTAATGTCCTGACATATTTATATTTATGTATACAATATGTCATGTCGAAAATAAATAGCACTTTGAAAGGCATATAACTCGGCTACTATTAGCTTTATACCGTTTATAATAATAATAAATTTTATTTCAAGTAACTTAGACTCATATTTTGTTAGTATACAAAGTGCTTATATTCTACGTTAGTATTTACATTCTAAATACATTTTAGATACATATACATATACTTAATTATATAAAAAAAATATTATATAAAAAAAATATATTTATACCGTATAGAAAAATAAATCTCATTTTTAAAGATCTATTTACTGATACAACACCATAAACTTATGTGTATTCTAATATTTCTTCATCCCTCAGTTACATACATAGAGAACTACCCCTATCTTTTTCTAAGGGTAGCGAGACTTTGGGCTACGGAATCCTAAAAACAAAAATCTATTAAAATAAACTAGGTATTAAGACATTTTTTTACGTAACGATTCCACTGAAAAGGTGCTGTAGAACTAACTTAGTACTAATCTAACTAAAGAAAGTATTAAAAATAAGGTTTTCATCAATATTTGCTTTCATGCATTTCATTTATTATAGTTATAGAAATAATGATCGTATGTGGGCCATTATTAATTTTTATAATATTTTGTGAAAGATTTCAAATGTAAGACGGACGGACAGATAGTGTAGACTAAGTATTACGGTTTTTCCTGGCCCAATCTTTTCGGACGTGACGGGGAAGAAAGACATGACTAATTATTATTATTGAAAAACCAATTTTACAGAATATATAACATACTTGTAGGTAGATAAAGGCTAGAAATAGTTTAATAGAGAAAAATTGACACGGTATTTATTTACTTTATCCACGTGTAAAACTTTCCATATTAAAACACCACGTGCAACTATGTCACGATTATATTCTATCTATACTAATATTA